TAAAATGTGGTATATGTATACCATGGAGTACTATTCAGCTCTAAGAAACAATGGTGATATAGCACATCTTATATTTTCCTGGTTAGAGCTGGAACCCATACTATTAAGTGAAGTTTCCCAAGAATGGAAAAACAAGCACCACATGTACTCACCAGCAAATTGGTATTAACTGAACAGCACCTGAGTGGTCACATAGGTACTATAGTAATAGGGTATTGTGCAGGTGGGAGGGGGGAGGGGGGCGGGTATATACATATATAGTGAGTGGGATGTGCACCATCTGGGGGATGGTCATGATGGAGACTCAGACTTGTGGGGGAAGGGGCATTTATTGAAACCTTAAAATCTGTACCCCCATAATATGCTGAAATAAAAAAAAAGTAAATAAAATATTTTATGTTACCCTTAAAAAAAAAAGTATGTTGGACTTTGTCAAATGCTTTTTCTGCATCTATTAAGAGAATCATATGGTCTTTGTTCTTGCTTTTATTTATAAAGTGGATTACATTTATAGACTTGCATATTTTGAACCAGCCTTGCATCCCAGGAATAAATCCCACCTGGTCATGGTGCATTATTTCTTTGATGTGCTGCTGAATTCTATTTGCTAAAATTTTATTTAGGATTTTTGCATCTATATTCATGAGGGATATTGGTCTGTAATAATATTGTTAAAATGTCAATATTACCTAAGGTAATCTACAGAATCAATGCAATCCCCATGAAAATACCACCAGCATTCTTAACAGATCTAGAAAAAATAATTCTTCACTTTGTATGGAACTAGAGAAAACCACGTATAGCCAAAGCAATCTTAAGTAAAAAGAACAAACTGGGAGGCATCTGTCTTCCTGACTTCAAACTGTACTATAAAGCAATAATAGTAAAAATCTGCCTGGTACTGGCACAAGAACAGAATCATAGATATCTGGAATAGAACTGAGATTCCAGAGATGAAACCATCTGTATACAGTAACCTAATCTTTGATAAAGCAAACAAAATTATACAATTCTCTCTTCAATAAATGGTGCTGAGAAAACTGGTTAGCAACATGCAGCAGAGTGAATCAAGATCCCAAACTCTCACCTGTCACAAAAATTCACTCAAGATGGATAACAGATCTAAACCTAAGGCATGAAACTTTAAGAATCCTAGATGAAGAGGTTGGGAAAACCCTATCAGATATTAGTCTAGGTAAAGAATTCATGAGGAAGACCCCCAAGGCAATCACTGAAGCATCAAAAATAAACAAATGGGATCTGATCAAATTAAAAAGTTTCTACACTCCCAAGGAAATGATCATTAGAGCATATAGACAACCCACAGAGTGGGAGAAAATATTCACTCTCTACACTTCCAATAAAGGTCTAATAACAAGAATCTACCTAGAACTTAAAAGAATAAACAAGAAAAAAATCAAACAACCCCATCAAGAAATGGGCAATGGAAATGAACAGAAACGTCTCCAACGTAGACAGAATAATGGCCTGCAAACATATAAAAAAATGTTCAACATCTCTAATCATTAGAGAAATGCAAATCAAAACCACAATGAGATACCACCTAACCCCAGTGAGAATGGCCTGTATCAAGAAATCCCAAAACAACAAATGCTGGCGAGGATGTGGAGACAGGAACACTCTTACACTGCTGGTGGGACTGCAAATTAGTGCAACCTTCGTGGAAAAGAATTTGGAGATACCTCAAATAGCTAGAAATAGAAATACCATTCGACCCAGCAATAACATTGTTGGGCATCTACCCCAAAGAACATAAGGCTCTCTATTATAAAGACATCTGCACCCGAATGTTTATAGCAGCACAATTCACTATTGCACGGTCACGGAAACTACCCAAGTGCCTGTCAATTCATGAGTGGATAACGAAAATGTGGTGTATGCTCACAATGGAATATTACTCAATCGTAAGAAATAACAGTGAGCTAGCACCATTTATGCTATCCTGGATGAAGCTTAAGCCCATAATACAAAGCAAGACGACACAAGATCTGGAAAATGGGCTACACATCTACTTGCCATCAAATTGGTACTGATTGACTAAAACTATGGTGCTCAAAAAATGGTAGTGTTCAACAGGGATTTGGTAGTGTTCAACAGGGGGAGACCCACATCTTAAGGAAGTGGTGATCATTGTGTGTGTGGGGAAAGGGATTACCTCCATCCCTTTTTAGGGAGAGATAAAGATATACATTGTAACCAAAATGTCTGAAAAAAAATCTGTAATTGGGAAGTGGGCAGGTGGAAGGGGGAAGGAGGGGAAGGGTGTGTACTTACACGGTGGGTTTGGTGCGCACCACCTGGAGGCTGGACACGCTAGAAGCTCTGGCATAGCAGGGTGGGGGAGGGGGGACAGGGGCAAGATATGAAGATATGTAACCCTCGCAATATTTGTACTCCCATAATATGAAGTAATAATAATAAAAAAGAAACCAACACAAAGGACTTTTGGTGATCCAAGCTAAAAAAAAAAAAAAAAAAAAAGTGTGTGTGTGTGTGTGTGTATAATCAAAGTCAATAAATTTGGCCTCCATACAGTTTTATTAGAGTCATAATCCAGGCAACTTATATACAATGTATATGTTGAAACTGTATTAATTGTTATTCTCAGCATGTATTGAGAGCTAAATGTTTTTCCTGTACCAGTTCTTCAAGTCCTGCAAATTTTCCAAATGAAAAATGAAGACTATATATGGAGTTGATTACATTATACATCTATACAGAACAGGACAAGCCAAAACAAATATTGATGTTCATAAATTAAGAAAGTTAACTACTTAACAATTTAAAAAATGTTGGTATAAGTTAAAAAAAAGTGAAAGTCCAACTTTAAATAGAAACATAATATTAAAAGTCACAGTAAAATGTTAAGAAATAAGTCAATGAGAATGGGAAGAAAAAATATAATTGCATATTAAAATAATTTTATTTGAAGGAAAATTATCTTATTTTAAAAATTTAATATTTCCCATATCATTTCCAAATGTATTTAATATTTCTGGAAAAGGTGCTGTTGCTTAGAATTTTACATAAAATTTTTATTTTTGTTTCAGAAGTCCCACATGTCAAATTCATTAGAAAATATCAAATCTATGAAACTTTTGAGTTTTAAGTATTAAGATTTAAAATAAAATATTTTGTATTTTAATAATAACTCTATTTGTGGAAACTTACTTTAAAAAAACAGTAAATATTCAAAATAATTGTTTTAAATTGGTCTCTCAGCTTCATTATTGTAACATGTGTATCTTTTCACTTTACATATTCTCATCAACATTCATGGCTGAAATGATCACCACCTGTATGCTTATTCCAAGCTATGTCCTAATTGACACTTCAGTTTTATGCTCCCTATTCATATATTAAATATGGTATTGAACTACTGCAATTGCCTAACTGGCTTTTGTATAAGCTAATTACTGTAATAAATATTCTATATCCCTAAAAATAAAAGCCTGTAATAGAGTAGGTGTTCAATAAATGGAAGTTTGCTTCACCATTTCCATTTTTCTCCTGCCAGCACAGTGTGACTTATTTAAGAATTGGCACCTTCCGGGAAGATTATGTGCAAGTGAGATTTTTCAAAATTGAATCCTGTTTCCTAACTGAGTTCCACTTAGCTGGCAGAAATGTATTGTCTTCCTTCAGTGTTTCCTCCCAGATTTCAAGGGAGTTTCATGGAGCAAACACTTTAGTTTTGGCTCCTACTATCTGAGGAGTTACTGCCATATAAACAAGCTCTGTGAAAAGCATGGGGGAGGGGTGGGTGGGAGAGACAGTTTGAACAGGAAGAGACATTGTGTGTAAATCAAAAACTCTTTCTGTAAAATAAATCCTTAGCCCCTAATTATTCTATTCTAGATTCAGATTTTCACAGACTGAGTTCTCTTAAGGGTGAGCTACCTGTGGTTCAGTTTCTCAGGCAAAATATTTAGGGGAGTGAATGAGGGAGGAAGAGAGATTGATGAGTGGATGCATAGATGACTGACCATGGGCCAGTGACTCTGTTGATCAGAAGCCTGGTCAGGTCTGCTGCGGTAAGGGTGAGCAAAATCAGGTCATCTAACGCCCCCCCCCCCCGGCTCCTCAGGAGATCCTGTTTTCTTCCCACCTTCATCTCTTTCCTGTCCAGAGACCGGGAATCAGAGAAGTTCCACATCTCCACCAGTGTGACAGCAGGCACAGAGATGACTTTTCCTTGGCCTACGAAGAACTGCTGCAGCGGCACCAGGGCCAGTACCAGCTGGTGGTCAGCCTAGCGCCAGGACAATTGGTAAGGAGGCTCAGTGTAGAGATCACAGTGTCAGAAAGGACAGGCATCACCTATGTGAATGTACCGCCTCTGAGGACCAGTTGCCTGCGTACCAATGCCCACACAAGTACATGGGCAATACTGTGGGTCAGCCACTGACTGGCCTTCCCTGAATGGGAACCTTCTCCATTCCACTGGGTTTCCCTCTATACTGCTCCAGCCCTATGTTCACTGCCAAGTTCCTTCCTAACTCAGGGAGAAGAGAGCATGTTTAGAGTTGAAGATATTTGGATTCCAACCTCGGCTTGGTCTTTGTAGCCAGTATAACCTAGTCAGTTACAAACTTCCCAGACCCTGTATTTCCCTCATTAAAAAAAATCAATATTAGACAGGGGTTGCTACATGGGCTAATGAAATCAAATCATGTGTTAACAATGCCAAAGTTTGTAGAACCCTCACTGGGCAAACCCTGCTGTCCCCGGGATCGCCACTGCGTGTGGAAGGACGATGGGAGCACAGGAAGGATACCTTCTCAGGGCTGCAGGGCAGAGAGGCGTCCTGCCTGCCAGGCTTGGTAGAGGTTTTCCAGGGCCAGACCAGCTACATCAGAATCACGACATGAGCTCTTAGGAATGCACATTCCCGGACCCAGCCTTCGCGGTCTGCTTCCGTAGGATGCGGTGGGACCCAGAATCTGCACATTTAACCAGTCTCAGGTGACCTTGATGTCCAGCCGGGCTGGAGAACCACGGAGCTAGCCTACACGCCTCATCCCAGAGACGAGAGGACAGGCGCAGAGAAACCCCAGCTCACGTGGCCACCCCACAGGGCACTTTAGCACGGGAGGGTATGCCTGATTTGACCCTGCTGACCCAGGGAGGCCGTGAGGTGGACAGCGTGGAGAGAGACAGACACACAGACTAGGTTTAGATCCCACCTTTGAGGCTCCCCTAACCAGGGACCAGCAAAGCAAGTGACGCCATTGCTCTACTTCACTTCTCCCATCTGTAAAATGGGCGAGATGCCGTCTGCAGCCCAGGACCTTTGTGAGAATTTGAGAAAACTCCTCCCTCCAATTTGTTTGGCCCAGAGTAATGAAGACTGGATGATGACTGTAACAGCTAGCATCACTTAGCGCTCTCTAAGACCCAGGTGTGGTTCCAAATGCTTTCCACAAATGGCCTCATTTAATGCCCACAAGCACTGTGTCTGGACTAGGAGCTGTCGCCATCCCTGTGCTATAGATCAGGAGAGTGAGGCGTAGAGAGTGAATAACGTGTGCAGGGACACGCAGCAGCCAGAGGGACCTGGGCCCACAGGCCATCTGAGTCCCTGCAGCTGTACTCTTAAGCCCTAAGCTATAAATGGCAGCTCCCTCCCCCTTTTCCTTAAAGGTTAAAACAGAGGGTAGAACCAATCCTGTGAGGGGAAAAACAGAACAAAGAGCTCTGAAAGGAAGGAAGCCAAGGGAATGTATGTGAGCAGGCGCCTCAGAGAGTAGGGGCTCAGTTGGCCCCTAAGCTTCCTGACAGCTGTAGCAGGAAGGAAGGGGGAGCAGAATTCCCAAGTTTCCATTTTCTGGAAAAAAGGAGGCACAGAGACATTTCTAAATGGACATTTGTCTTGGATTCCGGAGGAGTTGATCTTGTGGCCAGCTCAGCAAACATCCGGGACGAGAAATTCATCTGTGATTCCATGAGACACTAAAAGGCTTATTCACACACGTGATTCCAAGAGTCAGAAGGCAGAGGGGGAAGAAAACACATGAAATTCTATCCCAGAGGAAAACCTCGCTAGACTGCTCTTTCCCACAGTAGAAAGGGGGATGGGAGGAGACCTAGGCCCTGTCTGTGTGTGTGTCTCTCTGCTCAAAGGCACACCCCTGACTCTGTGGGAGGACGCAGGCTCCTGGTCTAGCTTGGGACGTGACACTCCTGCAGGGCCTAGGCCTGGGGTGGGATAGGGTGGGATGGGCAGTGAGGCAGGGCGAGGCTGTGAGTGTGGGTGAGACTGGCAGGGCCGGGGGATGAGGGCAGGTCTGGGTCTGTCAGGATGGCCTTGATGGAGGAGGCAGAGCAGCAGCTGGCTGGAGGATGTGGAGAGGAGCGTGGGGCAGATGGAAGGGCATTGGAGGCAGGAGGAGTAGCAAGTGATGGTTGAGGGTAGACTTCTCATCCTCCCCAGAGGGTGCCCCATTTCCTGCCCCTTCCCTGGCTTTTCTGTCTACTGAGCTGCCCATGCCACCCCACCCCAAACTTCCCCATCCATATAGGTGTAGCTGACTCGCCCCCATCCACCAGGATTGACAGGGGACAGACCTGTGTTCGGATCACCTTCTGCCCGACACTGCAAGACCAGTCTGCCTTCTCCTGCTCAGGCATCATGGCCGACTTTGTGGTCCAGTACGATGTGGCAATGGAGAACGTCACTGGGGATGTTCAGGCGAGGGGCCCGCGGAGTGGGAAGAGCACTGGCTCTGGAGCCAGACAGGCTTGACGAGCCTCTCCAAGTTGTTCTTTGAGTTTCCCTAGGGATCAGCAAGAGCTAGTGAACAGGGAAAGGTTGATGTGCAAAGACACATGGCTTCAACCTTGCCAGGCACACGTACTCCCCAAAAGGGATGGAGACCTGGAGCTGTATAAATTGAATCAAGCACCAAATGAACCCACCCCAAATTGAATCAAGTCACAGCCCACTCTGAACCATCCCTTTTGCAAAATGGCTAGTAATTGGATGCTCATGCTCATGGGCTCCCATGCTTTCTGCAGCTCTGATACTCTCCTGTTCTCTTGGGCTTCCTTGCTGTCTCTTGGTTTTAGCAAACTACTTTGCTTCAGCTGGGCCACCTGCCTAACAGGGAGCGCTTCAATTCTGGGCTCCCATACACACAAAGATTGAGCAGAGGTTCCCCACTCTCTCGGAGTGGTATAGAGCTGACCCCAGACCCTTGGCTTGACTTTGAGGATCTCAGGGGAGGCTGAGAGGTCTGTTCCACCTGCCTTTCATGTCTTGCGACTCACCACCCCCACCACACAATGCACCCTCCAGCTGCCTCACACCAACCACACACCTTTCCCCAGAAACACCCAAGCCCACCCCTCATCTGTGTGTGAGCATTTGCTCATAGTAGCTGCTGTCCTGGGAAGGTGTTCTTCCTCCTTTCTCCACCGGTCAGCATCCTCCTCCTCCTTAAACCCTGCACAAGCACCTCCTCCTCGATGACCCCACTCCACCAACAATTCTTCTCTCTGCCCTAAATAGTTCTTTGGTGAAATCTCTCCTCATGCGTTACTCATTCGTTCATACGTTGACTTGTCTCCACCAAGCAGAGCTACTCTAACCCTCCAGCTCTAGTGCTGTACTCGTTGATTCTGAGAACTCAGAAGTGATTGGACATGGCCCCTAATCTCCCTCTGCCAGCTCCCAGTCCTGAAGCAGTCAGATACACAGAGTCTTCCCATTCATCCAATGTTCTAGGTGCCGTGTAGAAACCTGCAATGGGTTATGCGGGGTTGCAGTAGAGGAGGGTTTCAGGACCGTCTTCCTATGGGAGTTGGCATGTAAGGTAGTATGGGGAAAATGAATAAGATTTCCCTCCAAGTCTGTCAGTAAGGTGAAGGGAAAGGCATGCAGAGAGGAGGAACAGCATGTGCAGGGGCTCAGAGGTAGGATGCAGCTTGTTGTGTGTCTAGGGGAATAAAAGTTATTCCCCTCTCAGAATAGGAGCTGAGGATACCCTGCCAGCAGGTGGCAGCAGGGGCCTTAACCTGGTGCTCTGTCGTGGGGTGTGTTTGGATCGCCCAGGCATCCCTCAGCTGCTTCATTCTTTACCTTCACCACAGTGGCAACACAGATGGAATACATGGGATCAGGCAATAAATAGGACAACCAACACTGCCCTCTGCTGTGAGGCCTGACTGCTGCTTCCGCCCCACCAGGAGCCCTCGGCTCATCTCCCATGTCCTACTTGAGTGTGCCCGTCTGTCAAAGCCCAGCCCATTCCTCCGTTCATTCACTCAGTGAGGACTCACTGGGCACCTAGTCTGCATCCTGCCCAGTGCTGGCTGATGTGGATATCACACACACAGCCCAGCTCTTGTCTCTGGGAGAGACAGACAGAGGCAATGGTGACACCAGGTTAGAAGTGGCCTGTCCATGACACACAAGATATGATGGAAACCATAATGAGGGGAAAAGCAGTCCAGGAAGGCATCAAGAGGAAGAGGGCAAGCTGAACCTGGGTCTTCAGGAATGAAAAGAAGTGCGCCTGTGAGGGGCCCTGAGGGGAAACAGGCACTCTAGCAAACTGGGGGCTGCAAGAGAAAGGGAGGGAGGCTGACAGTATCCAGGCATGTGTAGGGAATTACAAATGGCTTGGAGTTCCTGGAGCAGAGATTTGAAGCGCAAAATGGGAAGAGATGAGATCAAAGGCTGCCAAGTCTGGAGGCAACAGAAGGAATGTGGAATTTGTCCTGTAGGTGACGAAGGAGCCAGGAGAGGGAATGACGTTGTGAGGTTATCTTTAGGGAGCCCCAGCATGGCATGGATGGGAGGGGCCGCAGGAGGACAGGGAATCCTGCCAGAAATGAGGGCTGAGGTTGGGCTTGGTCAGTTTGGGATGCTGAGGAGGGGTGGCCAGCCCAGAGAAGCATCCAGCAGATAACAGCAGCACGAATTGGCAGCTGAGTGGATGCTGGGGGATGAGAGGCACAGGAATGTTGAAGGGGATGCTCAAATTTGTGTCAGGAGTGGCCATGTGGCTGGTGGTGCCCTGATTGAGAAGGCAGACGAAGGCAGGGTGGGGGAAGATAATGAGTTCATGGTTTGGGCAGGATGCGTCGTCAGAGGCTTCTTGGGACATCCAGGGGAACAGGTCCAAGGGCGAGTAGGTACACAGTTGGGGAGGGGAAGAGTGGGCACTCTGGCCTGGAGAAAGAGGTGGGAGATGATTAGTCATAGTTCAGTGGTAGAATCCAAGCAAGTGAGCAAGGTCACCCAAAGAGGATTACGGAGCCAGGAGGGAAGATCCCTGAAGGCAGGAGCTCAGGCCCAGCTGCCCAGTCCAGGAGCTATTGATCCCCTCAGCCCTCAGGGTGGCCACCCCCTCACTGCCAAGAGCCTTCCCAGAGGCCCAGTCCCCAGCAGTTTAGCCCACTGGAGCAACACCAACATCACCATTTTCTGTGCATGCCTTGACCTGACAGATACTAGAAGGCACCGCTAAGGGACTGGGAGGAAGAGTTGAAAGACAGGGCCAGAGAGGTGGTAGGAGAATAAGGTGAGTTCCCTGTCTCGGAATCCCAGGTTAAACGCCTCTTGAAAAGAGCAGAAGTGATCATCAGCTGTGAAACACGTGAAGGGGGCAGTGCCAGGAGACATGAAATACACTCACTGAGTCTGGGGACAAGCTGCTCACCGATGCCTTCAGTGAGAGAGGTGTCAGTGCAGGGTGGGGGCAGCAGTCAGTCTCTGGGGGCCGCAGGAGTGACCTGGAGGTGAGACCATGAGCGGGTGCCCATTTCCTCAGCCTTGGATGCTGCGGGGAATAAAGCGGCTGGATAGAAGCTTGGGGGGGGGGTGAGTGGGGACAAGGGCTTGTCTCGGTGGATGAAACAGACACAAAAATTTTCCTATTCCAAGGAAGACCCCATGGTGTGCGTGCTTGAAGGCGGTTGTTGACAGAGGGCCTGGGAGTGTGCTGGAGGCTGGCAGTGCTTAGGGTCCAGGGCAGGACTGTGTTGTCCTTCAGCCCAGGGGTGACTGCATGGGGATGTGGACCCAGAGCAAGGGTGGGGGGCACTCTCAGTGTCCGTGGCCTGGAGCTCTCAATTTTCTTGGTGAGTCAGGCGGTTGGGGTGCAATGACTGCTGAGGGGACTGGGAGAGGTGGGTGCGCAGGGTCATCCCCCTGGATTATGATGAGAAGTGGGGCGGTCGGTGTGGGACCAGCAAAAAGTGGGCATGATTTTTCCCGGTAGCTCACAGCGGCCCAGGTGTGGGAGGCGCGCAGAGCCAGTTGCGTTCTGCACTTGGCCTGGGCAGTTGCGAGGTGGGTGATGCAGGCCTTTGCCAATTGGGAGAGACTGTCAGGATTAAGAGAGACAGAGGCTGCACATGCACATGTGAATTAATTTAGAAGCTGGGGTGGAGGGGAAGGGCAGGATGTCCTCCCATCTCCTCTTTGCCCCTGAGAGGTGGGAGGCAGTGTCCAGCCTCGTGGTCAGAGAGAGTGCCCGGAGGGGAGACAGGAGCACAGGCCTGTGTCCCTGGGCAGAGCCTGCTTCAGGCTTCAGGGGAGCACAGACCCTCAGCAAGCCCAGACAAATCTGGGCTGAGCTGAGACTGGTCCTGAGGGGCCCTCCCAGCTCCCCTCCCCTTCCCTCAGCTGTCCCAGCCCCCAGGCTCTGCAGAGAGGAGGGATGGTGTGGGGGAGGGGCTTCCGCAGCCAATGACTTCGAGGGCAGCTCAAGGCATCTGTACCTGGTGTAACCAATCCCCTCAGAATAAACAGCTCACTCAGCTTCTGCTCCCTCCTCCTCTCCCTGCCCTGCCCAGCAACAGCAGAAAGGAGGTTTTAGGAGGAGAGGGAGGCCCTGCAAACAAACTCCCAGCCCCTGGCAGCAATGAGCTGGGCCTCAGGCTCACTCTATAGAGGGAGGTTAAAACAATACTTAGACTTCCCGGAGCCCAGGCAAAATGTCCCTAGGGACCCTCAAAACTGTGTAAGCCCAGCTCTCTCACAGACAGGAGCTCACATGTTACAGAGATCCTGATCCTTGGCGTTCTGGGCCACAAACCAGTCTCCTTCACTGCACAGCTCTGGGGCAGGCCCTGGGATGAAGGTCTCAATAGCAGAGACACAGCTCTGCTGAAGCAGGCAGACATTGAGCAAACAATCACACACAGGCCTACTTAACTAGAAACAGTGAGACATCCTAGGAAGGCAAGAACAGGGTGATATGCAGAAGAATAAGAGGGGACCTGATGTAGATTGGCTTGCACAGTCCTTTTTGGTTTTGCTTTTTTTTGTCCAGGTTTACGATGGATATTTCATTCACTACTTCGCCCCCAGAGTCCTCCCGCCTGTCGAGAAGGGCGTGGTGTTTGTTATTGACGTGAGCGGCTCCATGTTTGGTATCAAGATCAAGCAGGGGCCGGGCGCGGTGGCTCACGCCTGTAATCCTAGCTCTCTGGGAGGCCGAGGCGGGCGGATTGCTCGAGGTCAAACCAGCCTGAGCAAGAGCGAGACCCCGTCTCTACTATAAATAGAAAGAAACTAATTGGCCAACTAATATATATAGAAAAAATTAGCCGGGCATGGTGGCGCATGCCTGTAGTCCCAGCTACTTGGGAGGCTGAGACAGAAGGATCGCTTGAGCCCAGGAGTCTGAGGTTGCTGTGAGCTAGGCTGACGCCACGGCACTCACTCTAGCCTAGGCAACAAAGTTGAAGTGTGATGACTCTGTCAAAAAAAAAAAAAAAAAAAAAAAAAAAAGATCAAGCAGGTAACAAGGATACCTGGACCTTTCTCAGTTCTGGCATGAGAAGTCCCAGGAAGCAGATTGTGCTGGAGCAATGGGACCGTGGGAGCAGAGATCCTACCACCATCCCATTACCCTTGGATCTGACCTGGGCCTACCTTAGGGTCCTGGCACCTTACATACCCATGTCGACCTGTAGCCACAGAGTCCTAGGATTTCCCATTGATCTGTGGGGACTGAACCCATTGAGACCTTCAACCATAAAAGTGCATTGTTCAGAAGGTGACAGGGTCATTGAACCCTCAAGCTAGAGTGCCCTGGCATCACAGAATCCTGAACCAATAAAACCTTAGGTAATAGACATTCTGAGCCTTCCTGAGGCCACAGGTTTGGGGTTTGTTAATTGTTTTTACTTTAAGGGCTTAATATTATAGGGTACTGGCATTATAGGGTTAGGCCCCATAGAATCCCGAGGCCATATCCATTTTATTCTTGTCGCACTAGCACTTGTGAATCTGAATACTGAGGCCATAGACTGAAGTGACTTTGATGTTAGAGCCTGAATCCATAAAGCTCTGTAAGCAGCGTTTCAAAAACCATTACCCTCTGGGGGTCTAAGTTCAAGTGTCCTGGAGCAGTATAGCCTTTGTGCCTTAAAGCTTTCAACTACAGAGTTCTTTGGACTGAACGCTAAATGAGTTGTTTTTACCAGAGTCAGGCAAGCTGAGGTAGAGGAAATACCCTAAACCAGCTTCCAAGCCTTCGGTGTAGGTGAAGGAACATACTCAACTCCAGCCCTTCCTAACCTTCCTGTCTCATCCCACGGGGTAATAAGCTCAGAGGTACTTGTGAAACGCATATCCTAGGGACACTAGCTCACTAAAAGTATGAGACCTATTTGGAACAATATAGCATGCTTCCTCTCACCCTGCACATTACCATCACATCCACTGGGCTTCTGTATGATAACTGGAGTTTACGGCTGATAGAACTACGAGTCTTAAATCCTACCACAGAAAGAGTCCCTAGGGAGGTCCAAAGACAACAGGGGAGTCAAAAACCTGGAACTAGAAGAAATTTTTGGTTCTGATATTTACAACTACTTCAAACAAGAACACAGCCTGATTCCTAGCCAGATATCATTGTCCAATTTGCATTGCTGTAAAGGAATCGCTGACACTTGGCATTTTATAAAGAAAAGGGTTTGTTTGGGTCATAGTTCTTCAGGCTGTACAAAAACAATATTAGCAGCATGTACTTCTGGTGAGGACATCAGGAAATTTCCAATCTTTGGGGAAGGGGAAGGACAGCTGGTTTGTCACATGGTGAGAGAGCAAGAGAGAGGAAGTGATATGCAACCATATAACCAGATAAACATGAAACCTCACATTAAAAGCCTATTTACTTCAGTTCTTTTTTTCTGACACATCATGTCTGGCTTTCAACATAAAATTACAAGGCATGCTGATATGAGATAAACACTGTTTAAAGAGACAAAATAAATATCACCCCCAGACTCAGATATGCCAGAGACATTCGAATTATCAAACTGAGAATTTAAATTAACCATGAGTAATACGCTAAAGCTGCAACCCCCAACTCCCAAGTGAAGCTTTATCTGTATTTACAGCTGCTCCCCATTGCTGTCATAACCACATAAGCTCCACCTCCTGTCAGATCAGCTGTGGCATTAGATTCTCATAGGAGTGGGAACCCTACTATAAACTACACATGTGAGAGATCTAGCCTGCACACTCCTTATGAGAATTTAATGCCTGATGATCTGAGGTGGAGCTGAGGTGGTGATGCTAGTGCTGGGGAGTGGCTGCTAATGCAGAGTACGATTGGCAGAGAGGTTTGACTGCACAATAAATGTAATGTGCTTGAATCATCCAGAAACCATCACCCCCTCCCCAGCCCTGTTCGTGAAAAAATTTTCTTCCATGAAACTGGTCCCTGGTGCCCAAAAGTTTGGGGACTGCTGTGCTAAGGACACTAATGGATAGAGTGGGAAACATGCAAGAACCCATGGGTATTGTAAGGAGAGATATGTAAACCCTATGAAAATCAAAAAGAAATGCTAGAAACCAAAAACACTGTAATAGTAATAAAAACAATGCCTTTGGTTGGATCATTAATAGTCTGGACATGGCTGGGGAAAGAACTGGTGAGATTAAAGATATGTCAATAAAAACTTCCCAAACTGAAAAACAAAAAGAAAACAGAATTTTAAAAACACCAAAAATATCCAAGAACTGTGGGACAATTACAAAGTTGTGCCATGTTCATAATGGGAATAATAGAAGGAGAGAAAGGAACAGAAGAAATATTTGGCATAACATTGGATACAAATTTTCCAAAATTAATGGGAGACACCAAACTACAGGTCCATGAAACTCAGAGACACCAAGCAGAATAAATAACAAGCAAAGAATAACAACAACAAACTACATCTAGGCATATCATTTTCAAATGGCAGAAAATCAAAGATAAACAAACTCTTGAAAAAAACACCTTACTGATAGAGGAACAAGGATATAAATTACATCAGACTTCTCTTCTGAAACTATGGAAGCATGAAGAGAGTGGAGTGAAATATTTTAAGTACTGAAGGAAAAAAATAAAAACTTCACCAGACTAGAATTCTGTATACATCAAAATTATCCTTCCAAAGTGAAAAAGAAATAAAGAGTTTCCTGGACAAACAAAAATTGTGGGAGTTGTCACCAGTAGACCTTCTTTGCAAGAAATGACAAAGAAAGTTCCTCAGAGAGAAAAAAAAATGGTACAGCTTATATACTTGGATCTTACATAAAGAAAGGAAGGGTGTTAGCCAAGAAGTAAATGATGGGAAAATAAGATCTTTTATTTTTCTATTAAATGATCTAACAGATAACAATTTGTTCAAAAAAATAGCAACAATGTGCTCAGTGTATTTAGCTTATGTGTCAGTGAAAATAACGACTGCAGTGTTATAAGGGATGCGAAGGAAAAATTGAGAATACTCTGTTACGAGGTACTTGTATTACGAATGACAAATGACACTCTGCGGTGTTATTTGAATGTGGACTCATATTAGTTATAAATGCATATTGCAAACTCTAGGTCAACCATTAAAATGTTTTCTTGCAATATATTGGACATGATAAGAGATAAGAGAAAACGGGATCATGTAAAATGCCTAATTAAAACCAGAGAAGTCAGAAAAAGGGTAGAACAGGGAGAATGATGAAACACTGAAGAAAGAAATAGCAGAGGATGTAAACAGGTGGAAGAATATACCATGCTCATGGGTCGGCAGAATCAACATTGTTAAAATGTCTGTACTACCCAAAGTGACCTACAGAGTCAATGCAATCCCTATAAAATACCATCATCATTTTTCACAGATATACAAAAAATAATTTTACGCTTCATATGGAACCAGACAAGATCCCGTATAGCAAAATCAATCCTAGGCAAAAACAAAACAAAACAAAACAAAACAAAAAAACCCACAAAAAACAAAAAACAAAATAGGAGGTATCAATTTACCAGATTTCAAACTATACTACAAGTCTATAGTGATTAAAACAGCTTGGAACTGACACAAGAACAGGGACATTGACCAGTGGAACAGAACAGAGAACCCAGATATAAAACCATCCTCATATAGCCAGCTAATATTCGACAAACCTGACAAAAACATACACTAGGGAAAAGAATCCTTATTCAATAAATGGAGCTGGAAAACTGAATAGCCACATGCAGAAGACTGAAACAGGACCCACACCTTTCACCTCTCCCAAAAATCAACTCATGCTGGGTAACATACTTGAACATTAGGTGTGAAACTATTAGAATCCTAGAGGAAAACATTGGAAATACTCTTCTAGACATTGGCCTAGGCAAAGAATTTACGAAGACAACCCCAAAGGCAATCACAGCAGCAACAAAAATAAATAAATGGGACCTGATCAAATTAAAAAACTTCTGCACAGCCAAAGAAACTGTCAAGTGAGCAAACAGACCACCCACAGAATGGGAGAAAATTTTCGCAAGCTACACATCTGTTAAGAGTCTGATGACTAGAATCCATTTAGAACTCAGGAAAATCAGCCAGAAAAAATCAAACAACCCTATCGAAAAGTGGGCAAAGGACATGAACAGAAATTTTTCAAAATAAGACAGAAATAAAGGCCAAAAAACATATGAAAAAGTGCTCAACATCTCTAATCATCAGGGAAATGCAAATCAAAACTGCAATGAGATATCACTCATCTCCAGTAAGCATGGCCTTTATCAAAACGTCCCCAAACAATAAATGTTGGCATGGATGTGGAGAGATAGGAACACTCTTACACTGCTGGTGGGACTGCAAACTGGTTCAGTCTTTGTGGAAAACAATATGGAGATACCTTAAAGCGATACAAGTAGATCTACCATTTGATCGAGCAATTCCACTACTGGGCATCTACCTGAAAGATCAAATGACACTCTACAAATGGGACACCTGCACTCGAATGTTTATAGCAGCATAGTTCACAATCACAAAGGTGTGGAAACAACCCAGGTGCCCATCAATACATGAGTGGATTAATAAAATGTGGTATATGCATACCATGGAGTACTATTCAGCTTTAAGAAACAATGGTGATATAGCAACTCTTGTATATTCCTGGATAGAGCTGGAACCCATTCTA